ATGAATTTCACAGTCCCTCAAACTGAAAAAGGACATAATCTTAGACATAGTGCACAGTCCTTCAGATGAACCCATACAGTCTGGGGGAACTTTACTGCTTTGCCCTTATTTTTAGTGTTATTTCACTGACCAGTGTTTTGAGACCCCAGGTATAAACTATCAAAAAGTTTAGAAGCATTCGTAGCTAACATCCTTCTTCATTTTTGTGACAGTCCTACAGGACTGGAACTGCCTTAGTTCATTCAGGTTGCTATAACAAAGATGCCTTAGACTGATAATTTATATCAACTGAAGGTTATTGCTCAGTTCTGGAGGCTGAAAAGTCTGGGAACAAGGCACCAGTGGGTTCTGTGTCTTGGGAGAGCCTGTTCATCACAAATGGCTAGGTGACCTTATGTGGCAAGAACGCCACCTCCCAAAGGCCCACCTCTTACTACAATCACCTGAGGGGTTACATTTCAACGTGTGGATTCTGGAGGGACAACTGTTCAGACCATTTTATGCAGATATCACAGTTGAGAGAGTCAGATGGCTCCCTCAGGATCACACAACGGGACTCAGGTCTGGTCTCAAAGTCTCCATATTACTGGAAAAAAATTAGTCTTTTCATTTGGGATGAGTATGTTGGAAGGATCTGTTCCACGTGGTCATCCAGAAGCCCAGGCTCTTTCTTTCTGTGACTCTGCCTTCCCCAAAGCCAAGCCTGGGACAACAGACCCCAAGATTTCTGTGGGTGGAATTCAGGGATTCATGAATTTGAAAGGGAAAATAGTTATATCTCTATTTTCACTATCTCCGACATCTCAATTATGAATGCACTCAACAAAGCAGTGATGGATGTACACATTCGTTGACAACAGAAACCACAGATATCTTCATACCACACTAAAGTTGTTGCAGACATTTAAAAATACTGCTTATATCACCTCCACATTGGAGTGATAATAATTAACTAAGTCTTCTTTCTTTGTTAGTAGTGTAGCACCATATCACACTTTCAAACCTGTGGTTACTCTGTGCTGAGTTGGGAAAGGGACTCAGCAGGACTTTGCATTCCACAGGGACCACTTTGGGAGCCTCACCTGGCCATCTGGAGTAAAAGTGATGGATGCCACCTTGAGTTTTAGGCAGGGTAGACACAGAGCAGGTTATTAAGAGAGGAAAGGCACCTGGGATGTCCTTCCTTGTGCCTCCAGTGCACAAGGCCCTGGATTTGATCCCCAGCACAGGGGAGAGGAACTTGACTCGGATGTCTCAGAGACTGAGAGATGCAGAAGGGGTAGGAAACATGGGGAGGCAGTCCTTAAAGTGAGCAGGGAATGGAAGTCAAAGCCAAAGCCAGTCCCCTGTGCTCTAGTTCTTGGGGAGCCAGGGTCAGAGTTCACTGCTGAGAGACTCACGCAAAGATGAAGAGACCTAGCCCAAGTCCTGCCATTGGAGACATCACTGTGGGCACCAGAAGGAGGAGCAGAAGGCAGTGAACACACCACGGATAAGGACCAGACCAATATGACGGTGCCAATTGCAGCCAGGTTTGTCAGCCAACCTCGTGATCTCCCCTAGGATTCTACCAAGTCACAATTAGTTGCAATACAAAAGCAAAATTCTGGAGAATCAGCTAAAACATAACTCCAGGGATGAGAACACACCTCAGACCCTAGGCCACATTTCCTCCAGGAAGAGGCAGGTAGACTTTTTGTAAGCACATGAAACACAGTGACTACAGATAGCCTCCCACTTCCCAGATAGAAGGTGGGGGCACCTCCTAGGGAGGCTGCCAGAGTTGCCCCCTTTGAGAGAGCCCTCCCATCTTTGGTCACTGGAGTAGCAGGGACTGGTGTGGATTGGCAAAAGACAGATCTGTTGGATACTGAGTGGGGTGATCCAGAACTCATGGTGATGGAGTATGTGAAGAGAGAGGGGGCAAGGCAGGAGTGGAGCACCAAGGAAGTGAGAGAGGTCCTGGGGCATCGGGAGGCTATCTCCAGGGAAATGAGACTCACAAGCATAATTGGAGCCAACCAGGTGAAGACCTGGGAGGAAGGAATGGCCTAGGAAATGACCTGGAGGGGAGACATTTGCCGCAGTCATCCTGTATGGCTGGCACACAGAAGAATCTGGAAGGCACAACAGACCTGGGAGTCCTGGGAGTCAGGGACCAACCCTGAGTGGGGAGGGGGGCCTCTCTGGGCCTGGGAGGGGTCTGAGCGGAGTGACATAGCTGTGACATTGCTTGAGAAAGGTCTTGGCTGCGCAGTGTGGCACCGACTGTGGGCAGAGGTATAGGGAGTCATCCTAGGGTCAGATGGAAGTGCCCTGGCTTGGGGTTTGGTGGCGGCTTTTACCTGCATCTGATTAAATAATACTTTCTTCTCCAGAAAAAGAAAGCGGCTGCATCCAGCACAGTCAGGAAGAAATTCTGGATCTCATTCTGAGTGAGGCCTGGGGAAAACCAAGACCCCTGTCCCGATACGGGCTGCGCTCCCACAACTGGGCAGCAGGGGGTGGTCGCGGGTCTTCTGCTGACAGGCAGCCTCTCCGCTGTCGCCACCAGTGGGCAACAGCACACCGCTGAGTCTCAACCCAAACCCTCTGAAGCCAGGCTCAGAAACTGCGCACAGATTTTAAGGGGGTGGGAGGCTGGTTAGGCTTTTTCCCCAGAGCTCCTGAAATTGGACTTGGAGGTGAGAAGTGAACCACTGAGAAATCTTGTGACCAGGGCTGTCAGCTTCAGTTTTTCAACTGCATGTTTACTTTTCTAAGACAGATCAACCCCACCCTTTAAAAAGGGTGGTTTGGATTTGCATTTCCCTAGTGATTAGCGATATTGAGCAATTTTCATGCACGTGTTGGCCATTTGTTTGGTTTCCTTTGACAAATGTCTGTTGGGATCCATTGTCTATTTCTTAATTTACTTATTTGTTCTTGCTGTTGAGTTCCTTATATATTTTGATATTAATCCTTATCAGACAAGTGGCTTGCAATATTTTCTCCCAACTAAGACATATTATTTCGTCCATTCAATAATGACTGCGCCTGCTTTTGTTCTGGGCACTGCTCTTAGTCTAGAGATCATCACTGAACACAGCAGACCAAAGAAGTTCCATGACAGGTATGGTGGTTCACACCTGTAATCCCAGCACTTGGGAGACTGAGGCAGGAGGATAGTGATTTCAAGGCCCACCTGGGCTATAAAGTGAGACCTTGTCACACAAACACTGAAGAAGAAGAGGAGGAGGAGGAAGAGAAGAAGGAGAGGGGGAAGGGGAAGGAGGAAGAGAAGTTGCAATGCTTATGGAGTCAGGCCATAAATAGTAATGTGCCCAATGAGTAAAGGACATAGTGAGTTAAAAAGCACATTGTTGTGGAGAAAGAATAAGTAGATCAGCAAGGGTGGTTGGGAGGGAGCAGCTGGGGTGGGTCCTTGGTGAAATGGTGACAGAGAGGGCCCTGGGTGCATCCCTGGAGCGGCCACTGCCTTCCACTAAGGAAACTCCATCTTCACCGTGGCCCTCAGCAGGGAGGATGGTGTGCCCAGAATCCTAGGGACAGGTTCTGTGCCAAGCACATTGGCCACAGCTGGATGAAAAGGGAGCACTGGGCCTGGAACACACACAGCCCCCCAGCCCCAACCCAGCAGTGAGGAAATGAGTGCAGATGCCTCCCTTGGGGACAGCCACGCCAGACCCAGGTGAGAAGAAGAGTGTCAACCTGGTGTTTACCTATGACCAATGCCACCTCCTCTCCACAAACAGAGGGCTCCAGCCCCTGCTTCACATCACTCTCCAATTTACAAAAAATTGCAAAGGCCCCACTGCCCTTCCCCTTGTCCTGCTAGATGCCACAGGAAGTCAGGCAGCCTTGCCGTGGGTCTGTCCTCCCTGCTGGGCTAGCTTCCATCACCCAAGGCTCTCTGGCTTCCTCTTCTCTCTGATCTCATGCTCCCTGTTTGACTTCTCATCTGAGTAACTCGTTGCCTACATTAAATTTCTCTTCTTCCTCCTCCTTCTCTGGCTAGACAGGTGCTCTCCTATTTGAGCCACCCTCCCCCAGTCCCTTTCTGCTTTGGTTATTTTTCAGGTAGAGGCCTTGTATTTTTACCCAGGTGAGTCTGGACTTTGATCCTCCTACCTACAGCCTCCCACATAGCAAGGATGACAGGCACACACTACAGCACCCAGCTTATTGGTTTAGATGGGGTCTTGTGAAACACAGTCCAGCCTTGAACTGTGATCTGCCCCATCTCCACCTCCTGAATAGTTGGGATTACAATGGTGAGCCACGGCACCTGGCTAAATTTCCTCTTTTTTATTTTGAGTGGAAGAAGTCATTCATGAAGGGTTCCTACTCACGGTTCTATTTATGTAAAATGTATCATGGGAAAACACACACAGTGATGGAGTTGTGGGCCAGGAGGAGGGTGCTCCTGAGGTGAGGAAGTGATTCATACCCGGATGGAGGGGCCGGCTACATGATTGGACACATTTGCAAAGACTCAAGCATGAGCTTACGACTTGCGCGTTTACCTGTGGGATTATATGTACCTCGATCAAATCGGTTTCATAGGAAGAAAGCCGGTGTATACACAGAGGATTTCCTAACTGTTTGAATCCTGATGGAAACACGGCTTTTATTGTTCAACAAACACAGGCGGACTGTGGAGGAGAATGTAAAATTTAAAAGTGTTTGGGTTTTTTCTTTTTTAACAATAAAACATAAGACACGAAACAGAATTTCACACTTGGCTTGGTTTATTGTGGCTGGTCCCAGTCCCTGGGGAGGTCCTTCTTTCTCCTGCTCAGTGCCCCGGGCATTGTGGACACTCTAGAGAAGTCCCCCACAAAGTGGGGTTCACGGATCTTTCTGGCTTTCTTGGGGACACTGTTTTTGATGAGCACAAACAATTCAGCTGCTGAGTTCTACCTGGATGGAGGGCCTCAGACAGCCCAGGCCCAAGCCACACAGCCTCGTATTGGGGGACAAGTGTACAAATTCCAGGTGGAAGAGAGGAAGCAGGGGTCTGAGAGCCCCTGTGTGCCCCTCTTCTCTGCAGTGGCCAGGTTCGCCCAGCACCTGCCACAGCTTAGGTATTTAGGGGACATGGAGTGAAGGCTTGCCTGTGTGCATGTCAGACAAGGCTGGACGAGACCAGGGGAAGCAGGGGGCTCGTGTGCTCCCCGCACCCCACTGTACCGCACACAGACCGGGTAACGCAGTCAGGGCTCCTGTCCGTTGGCCTCAGATGGTGGACCCGAGCTGGACTGCCGCCTGCAGCCAAGGCCACGTGCAGGGGCCACAGGACAGTGCACCTCCATTCCCAGCCGGCTCTAGAAGGCTCTGTCCAGTGGGCTGTGGCCCCTGACTGGCGGGCAGGGCCTGGGCAGGCACAGGCGATGCTGAGTCTCCAGTTGGCAGAAGCGGTTCTGGTTGGACACCCGGGTGGCCGTGCCCAGCCCACAGGTGGTAGAGCAGGGGCCCCAGGCCGTGCTCCATTCTGGGCAAGGGATGCCAGGGGGTGGAGAGACAAGGCCGGAAACCTGGCGTCCTGGGGGTAAGAGAGTGGTGTCAGCGTCAGCACTGTGAGGACACGGCTTCCATAAAGTTGACCTACCTCCTGGTGGGCATAGCAAACCTGGGCAAGGGGCTAACCTCTGCCTCCACGTCTCCTCACGTAAATTTCCTAGCAGCACAGTGCCTGGTGTTCAAGCTCCCCCAAGATATTGGCCATAGGCCACAGACATGGTCCCCAGCAAATGGTGAGCTCCCCCATAATATTTTGGTGTCCTTCCTTCTCTTCCAGTAGTTCTCAATAGGTGTGAGTTTGCTTCCCCCAGGGAACATCTGGCAATGTCTGGAGACAGTGTTTGATCATCAGAATTGGCAGTGGGGTGCTCCTGGCATCTTGTGGGCCGAAGCAGGGGTGCTGCTCAGTATCCATACTGTGGTGGGGGGATGGCCCCCACCACATAGAATTTCTCAGCCCAGTGTCTCCAGTGCCGAGGATGAGAAACAGCAGGTGTGCACGGGCACACGACATTGTGGGTGCTGGATGCAGGACGCCTCTTGGGTACCAAATCCAAGCCTGTAGCACTTGCACAGCACCTGCACACTCCTCCCCCACACTGGAAGTCACCCCGAGGTCAGGAATAATGCCTGACGAGACGTGAATGCTTGCCAAATTGTCCTCCTGGGTTGTGTAGGGAACAAGGAGGAAGTAGTGGGGTTTGAACTTAGGGCCTCACGCTTGCTGGGCCCTAACTAGTGCTAGGCTCTACCACTTGAGCCATGCTCACAGCCCTTTTTTTGGTTTGTTTATTTTTCACATAGGATCTCTGTTTTTGCCTGGTGCTGGCCTGGGACTGGGATCCTTCTATCTCTGCCTCTCTGGTAGCTGAGATTACAGGAGTGCACCACCACACCTGGCCCTAACAATACTTCTTAAAAGCAACAGAACAACAACAAAATCTCTAAAGCTGAGGTATTTGTAGTGGGAAGTAACTGTCTTTTCTCCATCTCTGCCTGGCCCTAGGTCCATGTCCCAGAGTCAACAATGCTGCCTGATTACATTTTGATTCCCTCTTTTGCTAAGCCCTAATAATAATAGAAGGATAATATTCATATTACTGATCTATATTGATCTATTATAAACATAATACTATATGTTCCAACACCTGTAGTAAATTATATTATACCTATGCTGTGAAGTCTAAGAATTTGGTTAAAAATCCTGACTCTCCCCCTCCCCTTCCCTCCTTTCTCTACCACCAAATTTTGTTAATTATTTGTGGCTTGAAATTATATATTGTAGCCACTGCTCCTTGCTTTGTTAGTTTTAAGGGGTCTAGTGACTCTGCTTTCTGCACCTTTCTTCTCCACGGCCCCCTCGTGGTGTCCCTGTGTCCTGGTGCCTCAGGAAAGCCAGCCCATCCCACTCCAGTGGCTGTGGCCTTGGTGGTCCTGCACTCACCTTGGGCTGGGAGGTGCTGGGCCCGCAGCTCCCATCCCTGGTTGCACACCCACTCAGGGCAGCACCTGCCGGGGACTGCCACCCTCCTGGGCTGGGGACAGTCCCAGCTGGGCAGCCGCACGTCCTCCGCGCACAGTGGCAGGCAGGTGAAGCCACCGTCCTCACAGCGACAGTGCACACTGCAATGCGGCTGGAAGGTGTCTCCGTCACGGAACCGCTGGCCATTCACCTCGCAGCTCCCGTCATCCTCTCCCACTGTGGAGGGAGGAGAAAGCCACTGGGGACCCCAGCTCTGCATCTCCAGGCCCTCACCGGGTCCAAGTGCCACACACCACACCACAGCCCCCACCAGCCCGCCCTGGCCTGCAGAGAGACAGTGTGGGCACAGAGAAATGGGACTGACTTGGGCCCCGGCCTTGCCTTGCCCTCGCTGTGGACCAAGCGATTTCACTGCTTCTGGCCTCAGTTTCCCCATCTGCAAAGTGGATTTATGGAACTTATTTCACAGGGTGGTGCAAACTAAATGAAATGACATATGTAATGAATCCAGTAAAAAGGAGACCTTCAGAGGGCCCTATATACTGTTATTATCATTAGCGTAATTATTACAGATTAATCATATTTGACTATTACACACAGGCTGGAATTTCATGCATCGTCCTCCTGCTGTGTGGCAGTCATCACTAACAGGTCAGGCTTCATTGTCTGGCTGCGTGACGTTGGGTGAAGAGGTTACTTGACCTCTCTGGTCTGAACAACAGCAACAGTTCAGACAGTGACTCATGCCTTCAGGTCCCACAGGTTAGTAAGTGCAGATAGCACAGGGCTAGGCGATAGCAGGTGCTCAGGAGACTGCACGAAGCCCTGAAAATGTGGCATTCCTGCCCTGCCTCTCCTGGACGCGAAGTCCTTGAGGACTGGGGCCAAGAGTGGTCCTCCTGGCATCCCCTGCACTGGCATCCCCTGCGCTGGCCCAGAGCCCCGGACACACAGAAGCTCAGGAGACACCCTTGGAAATAGGTGTCTGGAGCAAGGCACCGCACTAACGGTGATGAAGTCGTTCCAAGTCCTCATGTTCCTAGCGATATTTACTGTGCCCAAGAGCGAGCCGACTCAATCACTGTGCTCCTAGACAGGACTAACGTGCAATTTTGCCTTGAGGGACGCATGGGCCAGTGGAGGTACAGACAGAAAAGTCTCCGGGTCCAAGGCAGAGTGAAGCAAGAGCCCTGGAGAGGTGTGTGTGAGTGACTCAAGACAAAGGACAAGGCATGTGTCAGGGAAAGGCTTCCTGGGGATCTGGGTGGCATCCAGTAGGTCTATGGCAAGCAGGTCCTCCTAGGTCTTTTGAGATAAACTTCCATTAGGTCCCTACACGCGGAGGGCTCTGGGAAGCACACGTATTGGGGTTTGAGTCCCCGCTCCTCGAATTCTTGCTGTGGGAACTGGACCAAGTGCCTCCACTTCTCTGGGCCTTGGTGACCTGCTCCCAGGGCTGCAGGAGGGTAGGTGAGCTGGAGCACATAAAGCATTACACCCCAAGCCTGGCACACAGCAGATGCTCAGGAAATGGGAGGACTTGGTCTATCCCCCAGGGAGGACAGGACCGTGGTGGGCTCGCTGCTTGACCATAGTCCTGTGGCTGCAGAACCCTGACATTGTGGCTTGGACCATGTGGCCAGTTCCCTTTATCCTCAGGCTGGCCTGGCCACACCCAGGCCCCCAGCTTGACTTCTGTCACCACAGTTTCAGGCCTCCAGGTCACCAGGATGGCCTGATAAACAGAGGGCCATTTAGGAAAATTAGCTGAGGGTGATAATTTTAGCAGGGTTTCTTGGCACCTCCCAGGGTCATCAGCTCAGAGCTGGTTGTGGCTGGGCGGAAACAATGGTCCTTGGGCAGCCACTCCCGTACCAGGCCCTGTGTGCACCTATTTGTGTGCTCCCAAACATCAGAGGTCCCTCCAGACTTAACACTCTTGGAATCCCCTACCCAGCTACATCCACAAACAGTTGCCCACCAAACCTCTCCAATGTCCCCTCCCCCAAACAGTGCCTCTCCTGGCACAGATCAGTCTTGCCATCTGGGGATTTCTGCATCCTTCCTAATCTCTGGAGTCTGTTGCGAGGGCAGGAGCAACAGGGTCTTTTTTGCTTTGTTAATTGTTTTTTTAACCTTCAGCCATTTGCAAACTGTGTGACCTAAGCAGGTGACTTAACCTCTCTGAGCTCCAGTTCCCTCATCTGCAAAAATGGATTATACAAGGACCTACCTCAATGTTAAGAACAAAATGAATTTGTGCCATAAAGAACTTGCTCACAGTAGGTGCTCAAGAAATGGTTCCTGTCCCCACCAGAACTATTGCTGTCACTCATTTACACAGCAAATATTTAAGCACCTTAGAGGCTTGGTGGGCAACTGTCTGTGGATGTAGCTGGGCAGGGGATTCCAAGAGTTTTAAGTCTGGAGGGACCTCTGATGTTTGGTTCTGAGCACTTGTGAATCAGCAGTGGATAAAGCAGGCAGGCGTCTTGCCTTTGCTGGAGATTTCATTCTTGTGGAAATGAATGTAACAAAAAAGTGGGGGGTGCTCTGTGAGATGGTGATTAGTGCTAGAAGAATAAAGGAGTAGGGGACAGGGACACCAGGGAAGGCCTTGCTGAGGAAGTGATGTGAGAATAAAGAAGTGAAGGAGGTGAAGGAACATGCTATGCAGTTACCTGGAGGGAAAGAACGCAGGTAGAAGGAACAGCCAGTGCAAAGGCCCTGAGGTAGGAGCATGCCTGGGTGTTCAAGGAACAAGGAGACCAATGTGGTTGGAGCAAGAGGGGAAGGGGCAGGGGAGAAGATGAGGTCAGAAAAAATATAAGAACACGATCCTGTGGGGCCTTATAGGTCATAGTCAGGCTTTGGTTTTTGCTCCAAGGACATGGGAAGGGGGTGGGGGCAGAGGAGGGCGTGGTCTGACTCAAGAAGTCACAAGAGCCCTCTGACTCTGTGTGTCTGAGGACAGACTAGAAGACACAGCAGGCAACAGGTACAGGGCTGCTCAGAATCCCAGCCAGTGGTGGTGGGGCTCAAACCAGGGTGGCAGCTGAGGAGTGACAGGAAGTGTCAGATTCTGGAACTGGTGAGGAATTTACAGGAGGACAGTGTGTGGGAGGTGAGAAAAACAACGATGCCCAGCCTGACGCCCAGGGCTCAAGCCTGTGCCAGTGGGAAGACAGATGCTCTCTGCTGACCAGGGAAGCTGCAGGTCTGAGACACGGGACTTGCTGCCATCCCGGATCTGCAGCCTGCACAGAGCTGGGAGTCAGCACCCAGGAAAGAGTGATCAATCGAGTAAGGGACAGAGACTTTGGGGGCAGCATGGTCCCTCCAGAGCTCCAGAGCAGACTCAGCCTCTGTGTGTTCTTATCTGCAGTCTGACCCTCCTGAGGGATCTCTCAGCCCACCTCGAAACTCAGTTCAGATCATAAGTGTGCCTGAGTAGCCACCTGTGCCACCCCAGGGCTGGGAGCCACAGGGAGGACCCCCATCCAAGCTCAGCCTTGGCCTGCAGTCTGTGCCACAATGGAAAGATAAAACCCTTCCTAAAGTTCTTGCCGATAACAGCTACTATGTCCTAATCATGTGCCAAGTGTTGGGGACGAGTGGCAGAGCCTGAAGCCATGAAGCCAGCGCCATGAGCTGCGTGACCTTCGGCAAGTCGATTACCTCCCTGTGTGTCTTTTCTCCATTTATAAGAGGGACAATCGTACTGACCTCATGTGTGTGTTGTGAGATTAAATGAGTTGGTATTTGTGAAGCCCCCATTGCCCGGCTTGTGGTGAGGCTCATGCAAGACAGAGGAACTCCGCCACTCCGCTCTACACTTGGGAAAGCCAAGCCACCAGCCGTGGTAGCCGAGTGGTAACTGAGCTCGGGTCAACTTTAGAAGCGTTTGCGTCAGCAATCACCGTGAGTCCTCTGACAAATCATCCCTATCCTGGACTCTACTCCCCCGATGGAGCAGACCATTGAGCAAACCTGCTGTCTGCAAGTTTTGTCGTTCTTGTTTGACAAGGCTTTTCCTATTGATGGGCTCATTGTCACCAATTCATGAGCTCTCTTATTCTTATAAAAGTGTGACATGCACGAAGACAAAAGGCTTATTACTGTAAAAACTCTCTCACCTCTTTCTATTTCTCAGAAGCAGTGCTTTTCCACTGGGGACCAGTTTGTTCCCTGGGGACATTGACAATGTCTGAGGATAGACTGTCACAACTGGGGAGGAAAGGAGGCTGTCTAATGTGCAGAGTGGGATGCTGTGAACTGTCCTGCCACTCCCAGGACAGTCCCCTACGATGACGAACTACCCAGCCAAGGGTGTCACTAGTGCATAGCGGCCCTAAAGTGTCTCTGATACTTTGCTCCCCTTGGCGTCCTCTGATACCAAGGCCTTAAGAGTGGTGAGGAATGTCACATGCCCAAGGACCCTGGGAAACAAGACACCCGGGATTCACACTGTAATCTGCAGCTTTCAGTCCAGGAGGAAGAAAGAATGGAACATTGCTTAGACCTGTTTGAAAAGGTCCCAAGTTGTGTGGCGTGAGGCAGTTAGCTAATGCCACCGAGTCCCAGTTTGCTCATTTGTAGGATGGGTCTGAACGCCCTTCCATCTCCAATTGCCAGGAGAAGGTATTGGGCTGTGATCTGAACAGGCAGGGACAGGGAGGTAAGCATCGCCTGAGCAAAGGCCAACAGGGGAGAAGCAGGGAGTGGTCCAGACATCCATGGGCCACCAGTGCACCTGAAGTGAGGGTGAAAGATGCAGAGAGAGCAAGGCTGCTCCTTGACTCTGAACCCCATTCCTTGACCTCCCGCACACACTCCCATCAGTCCCTCAAACCTGCTTACAGAGGCACACGGCCCCCCGGCCACCAGGGCCTGCCCCGGGCTGGCAGACCAGGCCCTGGCTGGAGTCGCAGACCTGGAGGTGATTGCAGGGTTCCCCTAGTCGCCGTGCACAAACCCGGCAGCAGCCACACCCATCCAGCACCAAGGGCACCCCCAGTGGGCATCGGGGTGGTGGCCAGGGGCAGGCACAGGGTGTCGGGCACAGCTGGGCGCACACCTAGAGAAACAGAGACCTCAGTCAGTCATGGGCTTTCCGGGTGGAAAGTGAGACCCTGAAAGGTGGCCACTGCTCTACCAGGCTGGGAAGGCTGAGGTCCGTAACTTGGTCTCAAAGTCACACAGGTTTAGTGTTGAATCCCTGCAGTCCTGTGGCACTGTGGTCACAAGGAAGGGCTCTGAACCAGAGTTTCAGTCCTCTGCCCCCTCGTTAGCTGAGTGACCTTGGGCTTAAGCTTAAGCTCTCTGAGCCTGGCTTTCCTCATAAAAGGAGGGTGATCACAGTATCAAGCTCAGAACACTGTTTTGAAGAGTGCATGAAACGATGCATGTCACACCTGAGCAGGTGGCCTTGCATGTGCCAGATGCTCAATGCCCTTAGCTCCGATGGTCACCTTTGCTCATGACAATTAAAGGACAGCCCCTGCCCTCCAGGAGCCCACAGGAAGGTGAGGGTCACAACCTGGAGAGTAAAATGGGGGAGCATGGGGTGCGTTTGCCAGCATAGAATTCTCTTACTCAGGACTGAATATATCTAACGCTGTCGTGGATGTGCTCAGTCTTTGGAACAATTCAAGCGTGTTTCGCTAAGTGTGCGTGAAATCAGCCCAGAAACTTGGGAAATACCAAATCGTAAGTCCCAGAGGTGGGGACTTGAGTTGTGTTTTAAACAAGCCATCCAGGGGTTTCTAAAGCACAGTTAGGTTTTCAGAGCCTCTGCCCCTGCCATGTATGGATGGGGAAACAGCCAGAGGGAAAGTGCTTGCCAAGGGCCAAAGTGTTCTCTGCAGAGCTGGAGCAGTTCCAAGTCCTGCTTCCCCAAAAGGGACCCAGGACCCCTGGTGGGGACTTTTCCTGTAATAGAGAAAAACCTAAACCAGAGACCCACCCCCCATGCCAGAGTCAAGGTTTCAAGCTGCTGACCCAACTGAGGACAAAGAAACACCCAAAGCAATAGCCAGATGCCAAAGGCAACCTTCCCGTCCATTTGAAGGTGCTGAACAAGAGGTAGGTGTCACTCAAGGTGGCTCCTTGCCCCATCTTTTGCAGGATTCCTGGTGGACTAAAGAGATTTGTCTACAAGAGAGGACTCCAGTCCTCCCTAGTGACCTCACACCTCCTACGTGGCCCCAAACAGGCACTGATCCCTTTACTCCACCTCATTCCACTCCAGTCCCCACAGTCCTGCAAACCTGCTTCCAGGTGCCTGTAACTCCCAACCTGGCCACCAGGGGCTGCCTCACCCTGGCTGGCCATCCTGGGTGGGGGCAGAAGTAGGCAACCAAGGGCTCACACCCAAGGTGGAACTCTGCAGAATTTTGGGTTCTGGAGATGTGGCCTGGACCTGCAGCAGAGCATCCATCCCTCAGGAGCTTGGTAGAAATGCCAGGAACGTTCTTTATAATCAAACCTGCATTTTAATAAATCCAGGTGATTCACACAGAGTGGGTTTGAGAAGAAACAGGTGGACTTTCAGATTCTCCTGCAAAGCAGAGGTTCAGGTCGCTTGGCCACGGGCAGTTGGGACACTAACCAGAACTGGCTCTCAGGTCCCTTCCATTTGAAAACAGGGGTGCTGATCACCCGGGGCCCCTCCATGGACCCCCTCAACCCAGCAACCTTGGCTGCCTTCTGGCGTCTCCAGGTCCTGACACCTAGGAAGGCCTGTGGTGACATTGCTGATGACAACTAGCAGCTACTTCCTGTCACTCTTCGTGTACCCAGAGTGTGCAGGCTTTAATGACCTTCACTGTGAGACACCAACACATCCATTTTGATGAGAAAAGGGAAGGTCAAAGCCATGTAATAACAGCCTGGAAGAGGCAGAACCTGGCTCAAAATCCAGGGTTGTGGGAACCAGCTCTTAAGTCCTGTGCCTACCTCTTGACCTCTAGGAGCTCTGATGCCAGCTTGGCCTCTGCCTCAATTTACCCATTTGTTCAAGAAGGATCTTGACAAGTCAGGGAGTGTGTTTTAGCACAGCCAAGGAAGGGTATGACCCACTCTGACCTTCTGCTTCCCCACCCTCCTAACACTGTCTCTACTTTCAGGTTGTCCCATTGTCTCAGTCTCCCCGAGCTTTGCCGTGGCCTCTGGGGGCAAGGCTTGCATAGGAGCACCAGACTTGGCATCTTCTGGGGAAGAGATGGGATCCAATGCCTCACTCGTGACTGTGAACACAGCCTGGCTGCCTTGGAAGGTGGAGGTGGAGCCTGCCACCTCCTCTGTGAGGCAGTGGGGTCTGCCTCTTACTGAGCGGTGGTGGGAACACAGTCATGGCCAACTCCTGGCCAACAGGTCTTTGCCTGTTTCCATGTCCTTTGCCCTGCCCCGAGCCCAGGAGCCACGGCCCGCTAGGGACACTTCTCTCCCTAGTATTCACGATGACTAAGACCCTGGATGTGACTGGCGTCCCAGGACCCAGAAACAGTGGGCCCATGGGTCGCACACCAGTGTGCGTCTAGAATGGCTCCAACTTTGCCTTCCATAATTCTGGACCCTTGTCCCTCCCAGGAACCCGGGTCCCCCACTGCAACTATCCAAGCCTCCTACAGTGGCACCATGTCCTGCCTGTCCCCTTGGGGACAAGAAGCAGCAAGACTGGATATCAGCAGGGTCCTCAGTCTTCCCCAGCAAGATGGCTTGGGGTCCAGGAGCAAGAAGCTCACACCTACACTCCTCAAATCAGCGTGAAAAGCCAGTGAGAACTTGGCTTGTGGGGATAATCCCATAGCTCAGGGAACTCAGCATTTACTATGGGGATAACACCACTCAGCAGCTGTAATCTTGGCTCAGGTTGGGGTGGGGAGACCCCAGAAAAGAGTCCCCCAACACATACCCATGTTTATCCTGGGCTCTACCACCCCCTTCTCTATTGCTCTGATGTTTCTTTGCTGTGTGTCTTTGGGTAAGTTGCTTACCCTCTCTGAGCCTCACTTGACTAAACTTTGGGATGATTCCTTATAGGAGTGTTGTGCAAGTTAGGCAAGGTGGAATTCCCACAAGCCCTTTGAGGAACATCCTATGTAGCACAAGGTTGTTAGTCCACAGAAACGTCTCCTGTCCCCTCTAGTCAGGGTCAATGGGTCACTGCTGCCTAAGGCCCCAACTGAATGAACTTCCTGACCAGTTAGATACCAACATCTTTTCCGGCCCTGGCTCAGAGTCAGGCAAGGCTTGAGGGTCTTGATCTGATTCAGGGGAGACCTGCCTTGCTTTGGAGAGGTTTGTGTGCTTGGTAACAAGAGTCAAGTCCTCTTTGGAACAACATCTTGTCCCAGGGCCCCCGCTAAGCATTTCCAAGGAAATATCAAGGATGACTCCATCACAGCCTGAGGGACATTGTGTCCATTCACCTGGGGCAGAAGATGAGGCTCAGACAGGAAAGGGGCCTGGCCTGGGGTCACACAGCAGAGCAGAGGCAGCTATCTGGGACGAGGGAGAGAAGCCAAGCCTGGACACGGAGACCCAACGTGGGGTCCTGCAGGAGCACGGCTGAGGGTCCTGCCTGTGACTTCCACCCACCCAGCACCCAGAAAGGGCCAGCAGTCACTTGGAGGCCCGGGACCCTTACCTGTGAGAGGAGGTAGAGGAGGGAGACAGCCAGGAGGTGGGTCTGCAGCGTGCCTCTCATGTCGCTGTGCTTGCAGAGCCAGCTTCCAGCCTGGGAAGCAGGGACGAGAGCGAGGTCACTCCCAGGCATGCACTCACGCACACGCCAGCCTTTTCATCCTCCATTCCTCTCCCCACACTTGTGGTCCCAGCGATGAGCCCAGTTACCTGAAGGTGAGACCGTGGAGGCCACCAAGGGGATGCCTACCAGAGTGCGTGTGTGCAGCTGGAGCCAGTGCCAGCGCCCAGTTGGCGACAGGCTGGCAGGGGCCTCCCAAGCTCCTCCCAGCCAAGGAGGCTCCTGCTCAAGCCACTGCTGTAGCCGCAGTGGCCCTGCCTGGGACCCCTGCTGCACCCAAGGGATGTGGCTGCGGGATGTGATCGGCAAACACCCCTTCGCACCCCTTCGCAGAGCCGACCCCAAGCCTCCCAGCCCCGGCCTCCGGGCAGCCTCGGCCAGGCCTGCGGTTTCTGGCACAGAGCTTGGCAGCCACCCAGGGGTGGGTGTGACCCAGAGCACAGCTTCCCTGGGCAGTCTGCCTGCTCTTGGCGACCAGGGGCCTCCGGGGCTCTGGAAGACAGCCCAGGTGGACAAGCCTGAGCAGAGAAGACCTACTGTGTGCCGGCACTTGCTAGGCACTGCTGGACCATCTGGTCAATCCAAACCCATTTTATTTAATTCCGTCACCTCTGAAGGGCTCTGCAGGGGCTGGAGACACTGCACCCCGCTGCTAGATCCAGAGGGAAGAGGATTCCTGGGAATACCAAGGAGTGTCCCTTGTTCACACTGAAGGTGACAGTCAGCTTTCCGAAGGAGGTGACATTTCAGAAAGCCAAGAAAAGAGAGGGCTAGGGAGGGCAGACTGTGCAAGGAAGAGGTAACGGCACGGTCAAATGCCCAGAGGCAGGCCCAGCCCTGCCTACTTTGGGAGCCTGGTGAAGTCTGGTAGGGACTGGTGCTTTCTGGGCCATGGGCATTGGGGGTGCGTAGCAAAAGTAAAACACACAGATTCACACCGCTGAGACCATGGGACATTACAACGTTGTCTGTAGGATTTGCAAAAATAATACTTGAGGTGGTGTCAAGGGCTGGCTGTCCCCAAACCTCAAGGTGCAGAATGGGTAGTTGATGCAGAAGTGTCATTTGCTATGGGACGGGACTCTGCCTCTTAGTGGGGCAGGGTCCCTTCTGGCTGCAGTACTGGGGAAGGGAGGGAATAGAGGGGGAGGCTGAGGATGGAGAGGTAGGGCTTGATCATGGACAGCTGGAGGAAGGAGTGAGAGCCCAAAGTCTTGGAGGGAAATTGAGGAGCAAAGTGAGGATTTGGGGAGTTCCTTTGTTTGTTTGAAGTGCTGATGGGGCTGGGGGGCAGTACTGACACTTGAGCCACATCCTCAGTTCTTTTTGCTTTTAGTTTGTTTTTCAGACAGAGCCTTGTGTTTTTGTCTGGGCCAACTCAATCCTCTTATCTCCACCTCCTGAGAGCTGGGATTATAGGTATGTACCACCATGCCCGGCTTGAAATGCTGATATTTCCATAAAAGGCATGCCTAGAATATTTCACACTCAAAATGGATCACTTTTTTACACTCCTTTCCTTCATTCAACAAAATTATTTTCTGTAATAATCAGGAAATGAAACAAACATATTTCATGTTTGAAGGTTCCCAATTCTTGAGGAGAAGCTCTCCAAGTTCACTTCCATGAAGAAAATATTTATAAAGAATAAGAATTAAAATGCAGCTGGGCACTACTGGCTCACACTTGTAATCCTAGCTACTTGGGAGGCTGAGACTGGGAGGACTGCAGTTCAAGATCAGCCTGGGCAAAAAGTTCATGAGGCTCCATTTCAACCAATAGCTGGGTGTGGAGATGCCTGCCTGTCATCCCAGGCAAGGATGTGATCAGGGGATCAGCTCCGGGCTAGTGCAGGGTGCGGTGGGGAGGGGGAGTTTGCGAGACCATTTCATCAGTAAAAAGTGTGTGTGATGGGGCACACCTGTCATCCAGTGTCCTCGGGTGGGATGCTTAAAATAGGAGGAGCTCAATCCAGACCAGCTTGGATCCAATTTCAAAGCAAATCCAATTTCAAAAATCACCAGAACAAAAAGGGCTGGTGGAGTAGCTCAAGTGGTAGAGTGCCTGCCTGGCAAGTGTGAGGCCCTGAGTTCAAACCCCAGTGACGGGAGGGGAGGGGGCTCCAGGTTTGAGCAAGGCTCTGGCCAGCAGTGTGGCTGCCTGCCCCAAAGGCCCTCTGAGTCAGAGCCTGGGTTTTTCTTGGAACTTTTTCTCTGTAATAACTAAGGCCCAGCAATCGTGGGCAGAGGAGGCCTGGGGGCCTGGCCAGCTCAGGAAGCATGGGGTGGTGTGCAGGGTGAGGAAAGGCGAGGTGCTCAGCCCAGAGTACAGGAGGCTGCCACAGAAATGCCACTGCTGATGGTCAGCAGGGGCCCTGGTCTCTAACTGCCAAGTTGGGCACCAAAGGGATGTCAGAGTGCGAGGAACCCATGAGTCTTTGAGCTGCGGCTACAGAACACCCAGTCCTTACTGAACGAGTGTAGCTACCCTTTGTTTGATCAAAAGCACACATAGGCTCATAGTGTAAAGGTGCTGGGTTCAAATCCTGATGCACTCATGACTCAGGGCTGAGACTAGGTTGAAGTAAAAAGATGCCTAGGATGCAACAATTAACGAGGCTTTCAATTTCAAGTGCCCACCTTGTACCTGAAGACCTTAAGAGTGAGCACCTCTCTGAGAGTGAGGTGCTCAGGATGGGTACAGTAGCTTCACACCTGTAATGCCATGCTCATGCCTGTAATCCCAGCTACTTGGGAGACTGAGATTGCGAGGATCACAGTTCAAGGTCAGATCAGACAAATGGTGAAACTTCATCTCAACCACTGAGAAGCTGGGAGCAGTGGTGCAAGTCTGTCATCCCAACTATATGAGATGCCTGAATACAAGGATATAGTCCAGGCCAGTCTAGGCATAAAAGTGAAACCCTATTCAGAAAGTACCTAAGGCAAAAAGGGCTGGGGGCATAGCCCAAGTGGTAGAGCAACTGCCTGACAAGAGCAAGGCCCTGAGTTCAAACCCCAGTACTGAAAAGAGGGAGGCAAAGAAGGAAGGAAGGAGGGGAGGGGAGGGGAGGGGAGGGGAGGGGAGGAGAAGGGAGGGGAGAGGAGAGAGGTATCCAGTGCCAGGTATGGTTATCCAGGCTACTCAGGAGGTAGAGGTAGGAAGATAGTGCTCCGAAGCCTACCCAGGCAAAGTTACTTCAACCCTATCTGAAAAACAGACTGAAAGCAAAAGAACTGGAGGCATGGCTCAAGAGGCCCCGAGTTCAAATCTTAGTACTGCGGGGAAAAAAAGTGAAGTGCCCAGGACATGAAATGAGTTTATGGTAGGAACTCAGTCAGTGTTAGTTGACTGACCAAATCTCTGTCTGAATGTATTAATTAGGCTGTTCTGTGGTCACAAATAAGCCCCCAAGTCTCAGTGACTTGGTTCTTGCTGGTGGAGGTCCTCTGTAGGCTGACCAGTCTCCCCATCTCAGAGTAGGTGGCGTGGCTCCCCTCTACTCACCGGGCACAGCATCGCCCGGTGGTTTGTTGGGAGGCAGACTCAACAGGCCCCACCTCACATCCAGAGCCTGCATTCTCCTGAGACCCCAGGTGACGCACATGTGCGGTGCTGTTTGTGAATCCCTGCTCTAGACCAGTGGCCTCTGAGGTCACCTTGGCAGGGAGAGGAGTGAAGAGGTAGCACCACCCCTTCTGCTCACATTTCATTGGCCAGAACTAGTCACATGGCTCCAACTTAACTGCAAGGGGTGCTGGGAAGGCACAGAGAGGGACAAGCAGTGTAGTATTCTGTGCTGCGGGAACCTTGGGATGTGGGTAGGACACACACCTTTGCTTCTCTGTGCCTCAGTTTCTCCATCTGCAAAAAGACAAAAAGGCAGCCTGTGTTCCATGAGGGCTGGGCCCTGGTTAGGCCTAGGAGACACCTGTGGCAAGTGGAGCTTTTGGAACACATGGATGTCAGGGCCTGGCATTGGGTCCTGCAGTCAGAAAGGCACAGCCAGTTTTGCTATTCACGGTGTGTCACCTCCCTGTCCCTTCCTTCTCACTTATTCACTTATTGTGTCTGTGCCATGCCAGCAGGAGGAGCTCACAGATGTTACATGGGGAGTGGGGACCAAAGATTGGGACGCCGGCCCTGACCCAACAGGGCTGGGAGTGAGGAGTGGCAGTGCCTAGTGGCTGGACATACCGGGGTGGGTGAGGACAGCTCCATGGGAAGATCACCAACGATCAGCTGAAAAATCCCAACTTTGCTGCTGAGTGCTGTGAGACAGTGTAAAGTCCCACGCCTCTCTGGGCCCCGGGTTTGTCTTCTGGAGGCTGGGATGGTGACAGAGTCTGGCTGATGTCCATTTTAGCATCTTTCTTTGCCTTCTTCCAAAGTCACTGAGTCCTGAGTTTATTTACTGAGGTGATGTCCATGGCTTTCCAGCCAGGCATGGCCATGTGGATAGGTTCTGGCCATGAGATACAAGGAAAGTGCTGTGTGCAAATCCTGGGAAGCTCTTTAAAAGGAAGGACTTTTTTTGAGGGGTGGGTTCCCACCACCACTACTCTTCTCTTCCTCCCACTTCTAGTCAGTAATGCAGATGTAATGGGGGAGTCTGGCAGCCATCTTGGACCATGAGGGTAACTTGGAGATGGATCTCATGTCCAGAGGAGGTAAAGGAAAACTAAAGGAGGTTGGATCCCTCATGACATCCAGACTACCACACATACCCTAAACTTTACTTACAGATTTCATTCACCTGATTAAAAACAATATGTGTATATATGTACTATTTTTATATTTATATAATATATAGACATCTCCTCCTATTTGAGCCAGCATTAGTTTTGAGTTTTTCTGGTTAGTTACTGCTGATTGAGAAGTGTTACTGACTTTTGTTGTCATATTTCTGGGAACTTTGCTGGACTCCCCTTTGTTTTAATATTCTGTTGGTTTATTTGGTTAGCTTTTCATCTACCATTTACAAATAACCACAGCCTGTCTCTTGCCTTCCAATCCTGGCACCTCTACGATCTTTCATTACAGTGGTCACCTGGCTCTCGGCCACTCTGCATTGCATAGCAGCAAGAAGACTGGCATTCCTGTCTCTTCCTGAACTTGCAAGATATGGGATTTTTCCCACTAAGAATATTTTCATTAGGTCTTTGTTATTAAAATCCATCAGACTAAGGAACTTCTGTTATGCTCCTAGTTCACTAAGAGTTTTTTTTAAACCATGACGACATAAGGGCCTTGTAAGAAGCCGGTTCTGCACCGGTTGCCATGGCGACAGGATGGTTTCCC